ATCGGTTATCAATAATGGCCGAATTTTTCACATCGATGCACCGCTATTTATTTGAGCTTCACTTCCGAGATGTTTTATCAGCGTGGTTAACCGACACCCTTGTCTTTCGCAGGACGGGGAAGTGTACTGTATCGATGCCCGATACTATGGGAACATCAGCCGCTTTATAAACCACCTGTGCGACCCCAACATCATCCCTGTGCGCGTGTTCATGCTTCACCAAGACCTGCGCTTCCCTCGCATCGCCTTCTTCAGCTCCAGGGACATCTTCACGGGACAGGAACTGGGGTGAGAGTGTGTGTGGGATCTTGTTTACACTGCAGGTCTTTGCTCAATTCAGATTTTTTTTTGCCTATATCCAAGTTATAAGTATATAAGTTTAGCGGTGTAATGATACCCTCATGTCACGATACGATATTATTGCGAATCGATACTCCAAGACATATAGTAAAGGGTTAACAGAAAGTGTACTGTTGACTAAAGTGCTAAATTTGATATTACATTGTGTGTGTAAACTAATCATCTTTGACTTATGAATAACAATATTCATGATTCTGAAGCTGAAAATAATGAGTTAGTGTAGATGAATGTTCTTGAACTCTTTCACTGACTAGATATATTTAAAATATCTGAAGTGTCATCAGACCATTGGCAATAAGGTTCATTAGTTAACGTATTATCAACTAACATGACCTAAACATGAGCAATACATTTGTTACGGTATTTATTAATCTTTGTTAACGTTAGTTAATAAAAATCCAGATTTGTTCAGGATAGTTCACAGTGCATTACAGGATTTTAATAAAGTATTAGTAAATGTTGAAATTAATATAAACTAAGATTAATAAATGCTGAAGAAGTGCAGTTCATGTTAACTAAAGTGTTGGCGATATGTTTGCTAAATTTCACAATTCGATTCGATTTCGATTCACAAGCTTGCAATTCGATTCGATTTCGATTCAATATTGATTATTTTGGATATCAGTTACAATAAATGGCAATTTTTCTCAAGGGAATCAAATCTCTTAACTAATGCTGTAAACTATGGGAGTCTAGTTGTAGCCTATAGACTTCATTAGCCTAATATAAAGGTAATAATGAACTGTTTTGTAGCTATACAAACACTTATTACAAATTACACTTTTATTTATTTTTATAATAAGAAGATTATATGAAATATAAACAATTAAATGGTGGCTGTCATAAGAACTTGACAGATTTATTCAAATATGTATTAAATATTGAAGAACATTGCGATTATAATGCATATGTAATATGGTGTATATATTTAGCAAAATGCTCCTCTCTAGAGTTATTTTTTTCTAGCTGACTAACGAGTTTATGTGGGTTTTCTGAGGTAAATATGACGATCACATTGATTACAAGCTGTTTAACTGACGTCTTTCCACGGTTGAAACGCTGATTGAGTGAATCAATGTGTCATGATCCGGATTTGGATAAGTTGTACTCGATCTTTAACACACTTTCAGATGCTCATTCATGTTTATTTGGCGCTGTGACTGGTATTATTAAGCCGGAAGAGAGATCAGCGCTGCTGCTTCTCCAGAGCGATCTCACGCCACAGCGACAAAACGCTATTTATGTTTTTGAATTTCTAAAGAAAATGGACGTAATTTGAAAATTGAGACTTTGTTTCATATCAATTGTAACAAAGGACAAAGATTATTGCGATTTTTTTGGATGCGCGCAGCCGCGATACAACGTCCCATTCATTCAAATGAAACAGGATGACTAATCGATTCTTGAGATTTAAGAATCGATACCGGTTCGTAAAAATGAGAATCGATTAATATCGAGAAATCGATATTTATTACCCAGCCCTAATGTTTGCTGTCTAACAGGTTTGATTATGGCGATCGTTTCTGGGACATCAAGAGCAAGTACTTCACCTGTCAGTGCGGCTCGGAGAAATGCAAACACTCGGCGGAGGCCATCGCGCTGGAGCAGAACCGGCTGTCCCGGCTGGAGATGTGTGCGGACTCGGGCACTGACGCCGGTCTCTCGGTTTTGGCACACTCGTAAAGACCCCGCGTGTGTGTGACACATGGACGGCTCTCAAAGTCTGCATCTGCAAACGATTCATTTAATGAATTGTTAGGACACTCGTGACGACAGATGGACAGTTCTCAGACAGAGACGTGCGCTTGTGTGTTTACATGATTCATTTCTTGCATCGGACACGGTTCAGCATCAGCCAATGCCTTTCCACGACTCCACCAGGAAGACGCGCTCAACACACGGCTCGCATCGGGAGGGGGAAAGTCACAAAAAAAACATGATTTTATCACAGTCATCTGATCACTAATACTCCGTTTTTCATTAAATACCACAAGCTTTTTTTGTATGTGTAGTTGTTTTAATAAATACTGTTTTGATACAGAAATGTCTTTTACTTTTTGTTGCTCTCGTCATAAAAGATTCCTCCAGCGATGTGAAATCGCTTTCAACAATTTACCATCGTAGTCAAATGCAGTAGTTCGGTCTTTATTGCTGGACTTTTACTACTGTAAAATCATCAATTATCATGTGAAGTGGGACCATCCCGGCTAACAAACGCATGTCCTGAGAACTGTTTTTGTGTTTTTTTCAGTAGCACCTCATTGCAGTACACGAGATCCAGGGGGCGGAGTTGGATCCACATCTAAGGGGTGGAGATGGGTGGGATTTGGGGTGGGGTTAGGGATCAGGGGGCGGAGATGGATAGGATTAGGGGTGGAGTTAGGGATCGGGGGTGGAGATGGGAAGGATTAGGGGTGGGGTTATGGATCAGGGGCGGAGATGGATAGGATTAGGGGTGGGGTTAGGGATCGGGTATGGAGATGGGTAGGATTAGGGGTGGGGTTAGGGATCGGGGTGGAGATGGGTAGGTTTAGGGGTGGGGTTATGGATCAGGGGCGGATATGGGTAGGTTTAGGGGTGGGGTTAGGGATCAGAGGTGGAGATTTGTAGGATTAGGGGTGGGGTTAGGGATCAGGGGGCGGAGATGGGTAGGATTAGGGGTGGGGTTAGGGATCGGGGCGGAGATTGGTAGGATTTGGGGTGGGGTTAGGGATCAGGGGGCGGAGATGGGTAGGATTAGGGTGGGGTTAGGGAACAGGGGCGGAGATGGGTAGGATTAGGGGTGGGTTATGGATCAGGGGCGAAGATGGTAGGGTTAGGGATCAGGGGCGGACATGGATAAGATTAGGGGTGGGGTTATGGGTCAGGGGCGGAGAGGGGTGGGGTTATGGATCAGGGGCAGAGAGGGGTGGGTTAGGGATCAGGGGGCGGAGATGGGTGGGGTTAGGGATCAGGGGCGAGATGGGTAGGTTTAGGGGTGGGGTTAGGGATCAGGGGCGGAGATGAGTAGGTTTAGGGTGGGGTTAGGGATCAGGGGCGGAGATTTGTAGGATTAGGGGTGGGTTAGGGATCAGGGGCGGAGATGGGTAGGTTTAGGGGTGGGTTAGGGATCAGGGGTGGAGATTTGTAGGATTAGGGGTGGGGTTAGGGATCAGGGGGTGGAGATGGGTAGGATTAGGGGTGGGGTTAGGGATCAGGGGGCAGAGATGGGAAAGAAAAAGAAACCTGTCCCAGAATCAACAACACAACCACGGTTTCAATGAAAATCACTTTTCTGTTGAAGTTAGAATGGCATCAATTCGAAAAGTAACAAAGTATAACCGAACTAATAATAGAAATAGGGGGAAATAGCTTAAGGAGAGGGCATGGCCAACACAAATAACTAACCGAGAAACCTCTTTATATTACCTAAAAAAGATTAATAAATAAACTCTCCGCTCTCTCCCTGTCTAACAGTTAACAGGACAAAATCAGGGTTACAAACATAAACAGCATCCTCACCCTACATTTCTCAAACCATAGAGAAATAAAGATACTGAGCAGACAAACTACGTACAGGAGAAGTGGAGCACACAAGGAACGCAAATCAAGACGAACACGTTTAGTTCTCTTTCTGTTACGAAACACAAACACCTGAGGGGCCTTTACTATTCACAGGCCCGGTTCAACGACGAGAAAGTTGGAAAAATGAAGACTAAATGCTTTTTTGTTTTTGTTGTGATTGTAACAGTTGCAGATAGAAACGGTTTATAAAAAGACTTTATTAAGAGGCAAATATTTAATAACGTAAATATGTGTAAATAGCATCACTATAAAAGGAAGCTATTGCTATGGAATTCATGTAAATATAAGGAATCTATTTTTAAATGCACATAATAGCCGCTGCTTAAAAAAATTCTCTGGAATTGTAGATGGTGTTTTATGGAAAGTGTGTTCAGATATTTTATATTCTTCCTCCATGCGCTGACTTAAATTTTCAGTCTTTAAGTGTGTCAGTACAGATGAGTCATGACTGATAAGAGTCAGTATAGCCTATAGAGGAATCAACAACTCAAGGTCACCAGTCTTTAATTATGCTGAAATGAGGCTAATGATAAAATAATATTGCAAACAGAAACTGTGCCAGTTGTACTTTATAATTCTTTTGTTTAACGAGTTAGGCTATCTATAATATTGGTAATAATATAGATTACACATGGTTAAATGTGAATAACGTACAGCGTTTTTAAAGTGTGTTACATTAAGCAAAATTTCGAAACTTTCAAACCAGCAGCTTTACTTGTTCAGGAGAACCACTGAACAAGATGCGAAATCGTTCGTGTTCATGCGAGATTACCGATCGAATATTCGCCGAGCGAACAACAGTAAACGTGACCGCTCCTTTATACAGGGAGGGACACTTTATTATTTATTTATTTTATTACGTTGGCTATGTTCTATTATTATTTTTGATTATGTATGTGTCACTATATTAAAGATCTATCACAAATATCCGAGTGTTTTATCTAAAACGTCGTTAATAGTTGACAAAAAATATAGTTTAACAGAGAAACCTGAACTCTCGCTGTTCTCCACAAGTTTCTGAATACCACCGGCAGAGGACGCGTGCGCGTGCGCGCATGCAGGTGAGCCAGAGGTGCGCGCAGCGGCAGGTGTCGTGTGTCGTCATCAAACACAGTGCTTAGTTACTCTAAAGATTTACAGACAAACATCAGCTCTGAAACTAAACCCGCGCGCCGAGACTGGCTGTATCGCGTCAGATGCAGTGAAACGGCTCGACTTCATTCACACGGTTGCTACTTTAAACAAATGAACGCAAAGTGAAAAGATGGGCGGAAAAAAACGAGAGGAAGAAGAGCAAAACAACTCGGAGTATGGTAAGACAGTTTCTAAATGCGACGATTGTCACTATGGGTGTATTTCTGTGGACAGTTCGAGCATTTCTCTGGAGAATAATGCTATGATACAACAGACTGATCATTTCATGCGTGTTTGAGAGTTTCGATATTTGTCCTATAATCAAATATGATAGACAGTGCACGTGATGTGTTATATTTCATGTGTTCCCTCGATCTGGCGTCTTCCTCAAGTTGAAAAATGATAGTAAATCATATCAGGGAATTCAACAGTTGTGTGTTAATGCCTGGAAATTAAGCAAATGAAAATATTAAGTTAATCACCAACAATAATAATAAACTAAAATCTTTAAAAGTCGTGTAAATTTCTATTGTGAATCCATAATATTTGTTTCTACTTTTCCTGAGCTCTAAAATATTCCTGAATATATAGCTATAGGCCTATATAAACAACTAAAAATAGAATTGTCCGAGACTTTTAAAGATTTTTATTTAATGTATTTATTTCTAGACTTAAAAATCACAGTTGTTGAATATGTCGTGTTTTTGTGGAATATATGAAGAGTTCAGATGCAAAAGCTTCTAAATGCCATTTGAAATTTTATACTTTAATGATGATTTTTTATCAAACTTGTATATTTAAGTTCAGTAATTTCACTTAAATAACAATTAATAGGTAATTATCATTGCCATTTAAGTGAAATCACTGAACTTAAATATACAAGCTTGATAAAAAATTATCATTCTAGAAGAAAATTTCAAATGGCACTTAGAGGCTTTTGCATCTGAACTCTTCATATATATATATATATATATATATATATATATAACTGTAATAGAGACGTCCTCATTTAGTTAAGTAAAGTAAACGTGTGTATTCACAGGGACTCTTGCCAATTTGTTTTTTAAAAGTTGAGCTTGTGCAAAAGATGGTCCAGCCCTTCTGTTAAACACACTTCTGACGCCACAATATGTGAATATATGCTTTTACTGTGATGTGAGCTGATTTGTGCTTCTTTATGATGGGAAAGAGCTCATATACATGCTTTATGATGCTATGAGAGATAAGGATGTCTTCATCATTCTTGAGTTCACATGCCTCTGTTTCAACACACAAATGACACAATGCTCTTCTTCCTGTAAACATTTTAGCAACAGGAAAGATGTGAAGCATGTGTGTGTGTGTTTTAGTGCACAAGTCAGCATAGAAAGACCTGTTTGTGATCATGGGTATCGTTTGGTCATGCTTCAGTCGGAGAACGCTGGAGATAAGGCATTTCTCTGGAGCTTCAGTTACTGGGTAACAAGCCTGTTGGTCAACATTTAAACCAGGAAGAATCACATAATCATAAACACACACTCACATTGGCCTTGTGTTTCAGGAAAGAAAGGCGCTGACCTCATTTTAGCACTTAATTAGCCAGTTTTGGTGGATTGTGCACATAATTTGAAATAGTTTCCTGACAGATAAGCTGACTCACACACAGTTCGACACACACCTGAGGAGGACATAACAACACTTTTATTGTTTATAAAGCTATAATTTCTGTACACTCCCCCACACATTAACCCTTAACCTGTTCTGCGTGTTAAAATAAAATAATACCTCGACTTTCAAATGTCCACAAAGGGAAGTTTTGTGAGATTTAATTAAACTTCGATAGAGTGGCGTCATATTTTCTAAATGGACATCATTGATCTAACTGTGAACGATTCTTCCATGAATACGTCCATTTTTGATCAAAATATTATTACGATTTTCCTGTGAAACGACATACTTCACATTGCCAATCATTTAGTTCATTTAAGCCCCGCCCCTTTCTTAAAACCACTGCACTTGCATTCCGCCTCCGCCCACATCTCACGATCCAATCAACAACCTCCGTATAGAACCAAGTCTCCGCCCCACATTCTATTCTTTCCTTTCCAATGATCAGATGTGTGTTGATCTGTGTCAAGTTAATGATATTATATTAACGACTAACAGAACAGAACATTATTAATGAATCATTTTTGACGTTGATGTTTGTCAGGTTTCGTACACACATCCCAGGGAAATCAAAGTTCACAGTTTTTTTGCTATTTAAGTTCAGGTTTGTTGTTGTGCTCCACTCTTTATATGTGTGTGTGTGTTTTACTGTAAACCTCTGTAATGGTTCACACAATGAACACCACATTATAAAACCTATAAAATCTACAGCACACCCTTTCTTTTACGCAATGCTATAAAAGTATTTTACAGGGATACTGTTCTGCGTCCTGAAGGCAAATAACCGAGTGTGTGTGTGTGTTTAGTGTAACATGATCCTGGATTGTACATAAAGATGTTGAGAAACTGGTTGGTCTGACATGATGTGTGTTGTCATCAGATATCAGTGTGTGTGTCTTATGAGAGTTGAATAATACTTTTATTCATCAAGGACGCATTAAATTTATCAAAAGTGACAGTAAAGACATTTATAATGTTACTTTCACATAAATGCGGTTCTTTTGAACTTTCTATTCATCAAAGAATTCAGAAAAATTAAATATCAGTTTCCACACAAATATGAAGCTGTTTTTGACACTGATAATAATCATAAATGTTTCTTGATCATCAGATCCTCATATTAGAGTGATTTCTAAAGGGTCATGTGACACTGAAGACTGATAAATCCAGCTTTGATCACAGGAATAAATTACACTTTACTGTATATTCACATAGAAAACAGCTATTTCACATTGCAATAATATTTCAGATTTTTACTGTATTTGTGATTACGTAAACACAGATTTGGTGAGCAGAAGAGACTGTATTGGTGTTTCTCTGTTGTGGGTGAATGTGTGGTTCATGAATCATGTGGTCAGGAGCTTTGAGGAAATCTTTCTATATTGTTGTGGCTTCCTTCACTCATTTACAGCATCGCTTGTACTTTAAGTTTATGAAGAAAGTTAATTTTTTACACTGTACAGTGTTCTGGAGGAAATTACAAGAAACATTTAAGATCAAAGAGTAATGGCAATGGCAATTTATTTATATAGCACAATTAAATACGACCCACATCTTTACAATAACTAAACACACAAAAACTACCCATAATACAACACAGTACAGATAAAAATGTAAGTCAAATTCAGCGCAGAAATGCCGACTGGAGTTCGACTCCATCTTTGAATTGAAATGATATTGAAAATGAAGCAACACTGAGAGGAAGCCGGACACTTCTCTTTCATTACTGCTCTTCTTTTCATCTGTAGTTCCTGCTGTATGAAAACTAAATAAATCATGTAAATATGACAGATCCATCATGAGTCTAACACACTCGATCTGTCTTTCAGGAGCCCCGGTCCAGTACGACGCCACGTTCAGCGGCCCCATCCACAACAGGTCTCCGCTCATCTACAACACACACACACACTCTTGAAGAGCCTGTTTCTGAAGGCATAATCAGTTTTTACCTTGTGGCGTTTGTTTTCATGACGATGGAATTTCAAATCCGAATGGAATTATTCTGGAATGATTCTATATTTATAACAAGTTTAGTTTTTTTTTTACTTGTAGATTTTCTTGTAACAAATTAGCAAGTGGATAAATGCAGAAACATTTTGTTATTATTTACTTTTAATAATCATTTTTTTAAATAAATTAGGCTACAGACAAATAGATTAATTACATTTGTATTTATTTTATATTTATTATACTTCATATTTATTATACTATATTTTACTTGTCTGTTTGTGTGTATATATTTATTAGAATTAATTGAGCAAACAAACAAAATAGTTTAATTATTCTATATTACATTTTTATTTGATTTTTAAAAACTTTTAATAATTACTTTTTGTATAAATAGAATAACTACATTTTGTAGTCTATATTTATATATTTTATATAATTACATTTTGTATTTATTATATATTTTCCATTTATATTTTTCATCATAAAATAAGGCAGCAATGAAATTATGTAAAACACTTTTTAATTTAACTAATTTGCGTACATTAATGATCATTTAATGTGTTATTGTCATGAAAATCACGCCAAACAATGCAATAAATAAATAAATAAATAAATACACATGATAATGTTCAGTCCGTCATGTGTTGTGTGTGTTGTGTGTGTGCAGGAGCTGTACTGACATCATATGCTGTGTTCTGTTCATGCTGGTCGTCGTCGGGTACATGGTGGTGGGCATTCTGGGTAAGTTTCTGTGTCTGTGAACACTGACATCATGTTTACCTTGTCATGAAAGCAATATGGAAATCGTCGTCTGTATGTAAATGCTGGAGAGTGCAGGGGGTTATGGGTAACACACGAGATCATGTCTGCAGACTGAGAGCAGATATGAGCCACACGTTTGTTTAGCTCTCTATATAATGATTATAATTGGTGGGGAACACAAACAAAAAAATGTTAAAAGCAAATGTAAAACATATTTTTTTACTATCATTTTAAATTCAAATAAAATTCCAGATTTAGAATGTTTTAAATAGAATGCAGAATTGCGGTTTGAATTTGAATGTTTGGAAGTGACCTTTAGTTGACCTGTGTGTGTGGAAGAACACTTCTTTCCCAGAATGCACTCCTCCTGTTGATGTGGCCGCTTCAATTCAAATTCAGACTCATGAAAGGGAACAAGTTCTGCAGTTTTGAATTTTGCGCTAGATACAAATAAACATATTTTATTTATTTATTTATTTATTTATTTTAAGTTTAAGTTTATTTTTAAAGATTTTATTTTATTTTTTATTTTATTTTCTATTTTCTGTTTTATTCTATTTTCAGTTTTGTTTTGTATTTTTTATTTTATTTTATTTATTTAAAAAACACATTAAAAGACAAATAAAGAAAAATAAACTAAATATGAAGACGAAAGATCCCACTTTTTAGATTAAATTGTGATTTAATGCTTTGATATTCTGATAATCTGGACGTCCGTAATGTAAAGTTTTGGTGTGTGTGTGTTTGATCTCAGACATTTCTAATGTAAATCTTCATTGTTTACTTTTGACATCTGTGTATTAGTGTGTGAGAGCTCGTTAAATCTCTCTCTGTGATGAGCTGAGATGAAACTACAGCTAATGAAGTCCAAAGCAAACACTAATTAGAGTCTAAGGACTTTTCCTTCGAGCTAATTAGAGTTACGGTGGATTTACCACGGCTCAGGGCTGTGTGACGGAGTTCAGTGCTGATAGATCAGATCATATTTCTGGATATTAATTGTAATCTAATGAATCGAAGTGAGTGAATAAACGCACATGTATTGGCTCTTCTGGTGTTAACGTGTGTGTGTGTGTGTGTGTGTGCTGTGATATGGTCTGATTCCTGTAGCCTGGCTGTACGGAGACCCTCGTCACGTGCTTTATCCCAGAAACTCCACGGGAATGTTCTGCGGGATCGGACAGAACAAGTGAGTTTTGCCGCCGCTCGCTCTCGGATCTTCTGGGCTCGGTGTGTGTGTGTGTGTGTGTGTGTGACTCACGTCTGTCTGTCTCTCAGGGATAAACCCAGCGTCTTGTATTTCGACATCCTCAAGTGCGCCACCGCGACCAACATCATGGCGGCGGCTCTGCAGGGTCTCCAGTGTCCCACCACACAGGTACCAGACACACCACCAGCGCCTCTTACTGGTTTATACTGGTTATCTGATGTCCAGACTTTTACATCTCAGACACTCATAATTTGGACATTCTGGTTTGAAAACAGACGAGTAATGTGTGTCTGTTTTACAAGATATTGATACTCTTTTGTTCAACATGTGAATAATAAGCTTCCATGAATGTTGTGTGACAGTGGTTGTGTGTTTTCTGCTGTAGGTGTGTGTGAAGTCGTGTCCGTCAGAGTTCTGGGCTCTGTCTCCTCTCGCCTACCTTCCGAACGCAAAACCAGCCGATTACTTCAGACAGGAGTTCTGTGTCCCTTCCTTCCAGCTGAAAAACACTAATTTAGTGAGTGTGTGTGAGTGTGTGTGTGTGTGTGTGTGTGTGTGTGTGTGTGTGTGTGTGAAAGAGAGAGAGATAGTGAGTGAGTGAGTGTTTGAGTGTGTGAGTGTGTGTGTGTGAGTGAGTGAGTGAGTGTGCGTGTGATTATTTGAGTGTGTGAGTGAATGAGTGTTTGAGTGAGTATTTGAGTGAGTGTTTGAGTATTTGAGTGTGTGAGTGAGTGAGTATTTGAGTATTTGAGTGTTTGAGTGAGTATTTGAGTGAGTGAGTGAGTGTTTGAGTGTGTGAGTGAGTGAGTATTTGAGTATTTGAGTGTTTGAGTGAGTGTTTGAGTGTGTGAGTGAGTATTTGAGTGAGTGAGTGAGTGAGTGTTTGAGTGTGTGAGTGAGTGAGTATTTGAGTATTTGAGTGTTTGAGTGAGTATTTGAGTGAGTATTTGAGTGTTTGAGTGAGTATTTGAGTGAGTGTTTGAGTGAGTGTTTGAGTGAGTGTTTGAGTGTGTGAGTGAGTGAGTATTTGAGTGTGTGAGTGTGTGAGTATTTGAGTATTTGAGTGTGTGAGTGAGTATTTGAGTGAGTGTTTGAGTGTGTGAGTGAGTGAGTATTTGAGTATTTGAGTGTTTGAGTGAGTATTTGAGTGAGTGTTTGAGTGAGTATTTGAGTGAGTGTTTGAGTGAGTGTTTGAGTGAGTGTTTGAGTGTGTGAGTGAGTGAGTATTTGAGTATTTGAGTGTGTGAGTGTGTGAGTATTTGAGTGTTTGAGTGAGTATTTGAGTGTGTGAGTATTTGAGTGAGTGTTTGAGTGAGTATTTGAGTGTTTGAGTGAGTATTTGAGTGTTTGAGTGAGTATTTGAGTGTGTGAGTAAGTGTTTGAGTGTGTTTGAGTGAGTATTTGAGTGTGTGTGTGAGTATTTGAGTGTTTGAGTGTTTGAGTGAGTATTTGAGTGTGTGAGTGAGTATTTGAGTGTGTGAGTATTTGAGTGAGTGTTTGAGTGAGTATTTGAGTGTTTGAGTGAGTATTTGAGTGTGTGAGTAAGTGTTTGAGTGTGTGTTTGAGTGAGTATTTGAGTGTGTGAGTGAGTATTTGAGTATTTGAGTGAGTGTTTGAGTGTGTGAGTGAGTGAGTATTTGAGTGTGTGAGTGAGTATTTGAGTATTTGAGTGAGTATTTGAGTGTGTGAGTGAGTATTTGAGTGTGTGAGTATTTGAGTAAGTGTTTGAGTGTGTGTTTGAGTGAGTATTTGAGTGTGTGAGTGAGTATTTGAGTATTTGAGTGAGTATTTGAGTGTGTGAGTGAGTATTTGAGTGTGTGAGTATTTGAGTGAGTGTTTGAGTGAGTATTTGAGTGTGTGAGTGTTTGAGTGTGTGAGTGAGTATTTGAGTGTGTGAGTGAGTATTTGAGTGTGTGAGTATTTGAGTGAGTGTTTGAGTGAGTATTTGAGTGTTTGAGTGAGTATTTGAGTGTGTGAGTAAGTGTTTGAGTGTGTGTTTGAGTGAGTATTTGAGTGTGTGAGTGAGTATTTGAGTATTTGAGTGAGTGTTTGAGTGTGTGAGTGAGTATTTGAGCGAGTGAGTGAGTATTTGAGTGAGTGTTTGTGTGATTGTATGAGTGTGTGTGAGTTCAATTCATGTATTTGTAATGCACTTTTCACCACACGCATCATCTCAAAGCAGCTTCACAGAAGTGCTCGAGTCCACATTACAATTTAGAGCGATCTCTTATTATCAGAGGAAACTAAGTTATGTATTTCAGAAATGTTCATGTACAATCACAGTTAGCTAAAAATTCATTATTTTAAACAATGCAATAATTGAATGGAGATATAATAAGATCAATTAAATAATGCATACTTGTTCATTAACAAATGAGTATGACATTTAGAAAATATAGCAAATAAAGTGAGTGTGTGTTTTGATGATCTATACCTTTAATAAAGACAAATCTGAACAATGTGGTTGTTTTCTTACAATTTCGATCTCTCTCTCTCTCTCTCTCTCTCTCTGTCTCTCTCTCAGTCAGCTATGGAGATCATAAATAAAGAGTTGTGTCCCTATTTCTTCACACCGACGTCCTCTGGTGAGTGACAGAAGATGAAGACCCTGAAAACCACATTATTTCTTCCTCTTGTTAATATCCTCTCTCTCTCTCTCTCTCTCTCTCTCTCTCTCTAGTGTTGGGACGGTGTTTGCCCAGTTTAGGAGGAGATGCGTTTAATCCCAGTAACATTCCTACAAACTTCAGTCTGAATGGAATGGATAAAAACCAGTCTGTGGCAGCACTCGTCAATGCGACCGGGTAAATACACACACACACACACACACACACACACACACATCCTCAATTATACCAATACTAATATAAATATTAGAATATATAAATGATACTAAAATGACACAATTTTCAATCAAGAGTTTACACACATTATTCGTAATGAATGTTCTGTGCATCTCAATAAAAGTCTGCATGTGTAGTTCATGCTCACCGTGAGCTCTGGATCTCCGTGTGTGTGAAACTCTGAACACTGCGGCAATCTGTCCAATATATGAAAGATGAATTACTATAGACTGGATCAGTTTATATACAGTGAACTATATAAACTACAGACTCACACACTAATCCTGCTATAAAACCTGTTTCACTATCAAAGTGGAGGATTCGCTTCATTTACATGTTGTTTTTAAGTCAGGATGGATGTTTAGGTCAAATTAAGCTCGTTTCTGTGGAGTTTAGATGAATATGTGTGTGTGTGTGTTTACTGATGCGTGTCTCTCTTGTCCAGTGCTGGAGGAGCATCAAAGTGAGTCACTGACAGATAGTGTCCGTGTGTAGTAGTAGACGTGTGTGTGTGTGTGTGTGTGTGTGTCGGACCAATCATATGTCTGTCTCTGTGTCGAATCAGTGTCTCTCTCTCTCTGCAGGGTGAAGGACGAGTAGCTGTAGTCGTTTAGAGCTTCTAATCTGTGTGTATAGAAGTAGATGTTTGTCTCTCTCTGTGTGTGTGTGTGTGTGTGTGTGTGTGTGTGCTTCTCAGAGGTTCATTTGTGAGCTTCCACAAATGCTTTGTAAAGTCTTCTGAGCTTTACAAAGGTGAGAGCGACTCTCCCGCGGGACGTGTGTGTGTGTGTGTGTGTGTGTGGCTCTGCTCAGCGTTTGTTCTGACCTGATTCTGTGTTCACAGTGACATCACCAACGGCTTCAACATCAAAGACGTCGGGTTGCGGATCTTCGAGGACTTCGCCAAGTCGTGGCAGTGGATCGTAGCGTGAGTCCGATGTGTAGCGTCACACACTCCAAACACTCGCGGTGTTCAGAGTCAGACAAAACAATGAGCTCGAACAAATGCAGCGCTTTCATATTTTGTTATTTATGCACTGAAATGTGTACTTTTATATGTATTTGAATCATTTTCAAAATATGACGTTTGAGTTTCAACTCCAAGATGCATACTTTTATTTTTAATTTAATTATTATTATTATTATTAATAATGTGATTAATTTTAATAATAGTAATTATAATATTATTAAATAATATTAATATTGTATATATATATATATAAATAATTGTATTTCAATTTTATCTTTTCATTTTAAATTTTTACGTTTTGTTGTGTATTTTTGTTATTTTTAAAACAAAAATTAAAGTGTCAAATTATTTTATTTTTAGTTATTTTAGTACATTTAAACAACATATTTTATTATTTATTTTATTTCAGTTCAAATTTTTTTTATATTTTAAAAAAAAGTGTTTATATTTTTTAGACTTTAACCCTTATACTGTGTGTATATAATATATATATATACACACACACACACACACACACACACACACACACAAATGCTGTGTACAATATTATTATTATTAATTTATTTTTACAGTTTATATTGTGCAAGTGTCATTTATGTAATTCATGTATAAATTGTTATAGTTTTATAGAATTATATATTTTCATGCTTGTAATCACACGCAGAATTAATTCAGAACAAACACTTTATTCATTCACTTGTCAACAAGAGTCACACTCTCATTCTTGTTGCAGTTTAAAGTATTTTGAGTGGCAGTGTTTGGTGTGTGTGTAGGCTTGAGTGTGATGTAAGTCTCTGTGTGTGTGTCAGTGGTCTGGTGATTGCGATGGTGGTCAGTGTCCTGTTCCTCCTGCTGTTGCGCTTCACCGCACCCATCCTGATCTGGATCCTCATCGTCGGCGTTCTGGCGGTCGGAGCCTTCGGTAAATTATAATGATGAACTTGTTACATTTAAACTACTATGACATCATCAAGTGATAAATCTCATATCTGACATGTTCATCTGAGCCTTTGTCCAGATATGCCGATATGAGAAATGCATATTTTCTGTCATGAAATCTCGCAATGCTGCTTCATCCACTGTGATGTTGAATCATGTCAAGGTTGCACATGATTTAATTGAAGATTAACGAAGGGTTAATGAATAATGTCAGTCAGGGACGACGGATGATATTGTTGATGTCTAATATTAATAACGCATGCGCTAACGATCATGTGATCCTCCGTCAGGGATCTGGTACTGTTATAATGAGTACATGTCTCTGGCCGGCTCCAGCACCACCTTCAGTAACGTGGGCTTCACCACCAATGTGCAGGTGTATCTGCAGGTGCGGGACACCTGGCTGGCCTTCTGTGAGTCTTTACACACTTCTACACACTTCTACACAAACAAGAGAAATCAAAGCAATGATGGTTTCAAAAATGTTAGTGAAATACTGAAACTTCATCTCTTTTCATTTTAATGTGCTTCTTTCACATGACAGCCGTTTAAATTTAATTTATACTACATTAAATTGAAATGAAATAGAATTTAGCCTAAATATATTTTAAATGCTGTAACTTCATCTCTCAGCTCAATTTTTCTTTTGATTTTAATGTGCTTCTTTCACAAGTTAACTTTTTTTTAATTTAATTTACACTACATAAAATTTAAATGAAATTAGAATTTCATTGAAATAGAATTTAAATACGGGAAATTCATCTCTCAGCTCATTTTCTCTTTTCATTTTAATGTGGTTCTTTCACATGACAGCCTTTTAAATTTAATTTACACTATATTAAATTTAAATGAAATTAGAATTGAAATAAAATGTAAAAACTAGAAATTCATTTGTCAGCTCAATTTCTCTTTTCATTTTAATGTGGTTCCTTTACATGACAGCTTTTTAAATTTAATTTATACTACATTAAATTGAAATGAAATAGAATTTAGCCTAAATATAAATTCTATTTAGCCTAAACATAATATAAATACTGTAACTTCATCTCTCAGCTCAATTTCTCTTTTGATTTTAATGTGCTTCTTTCACACGATAACTTTAAAATTTCATTTATACTACAGCTTATAAGTTAATATTAAATAGAATTTAGTCTAAATATATCAATTTCTCTTTTAATTTTAATGTGGTTCTTTTGCACGATATTTCATTTTTTGTTTATATATACTACATTAAATTCAAATTAAATTGAATTCATTCTATATATAATTTAAACTATGGAATGCCAATT